GTTCAAGGCCTCAAACCTGTTCCTGAGATGGTTTTGAAATTCAGGTGGGAAAGACTCAAGGTCAAATTTTGGTTGCTGTGGATTTAACCTTCTTTAGCTTTATTTTGAACTTACATATGAGTAGTTGATGGTCTGTTCCATAATCAGCACCTGGCCTCGTTTTCCCTGCTGATACTCAACTTCTCCAGTGATTCTTTCCACAGATGTAATCAATTTGATTCTTATGGGTACCATCTGGTGAAATCCGTATGTACAGTCTGTGTTCCTTATAAAAGATATTTGCAATGTTAAAAAAAAATCATTGATAGTACAGAATTCTATCTGCAGCCTCATTTCTGTCACCAGGTCCATGTTTTCAACTACCGATCCTTCTCTGTTTTCAACTTTTGCATTCCAGTCACCCATTATTGTCTCTTGATTGCATGTTTGCTCGATTTCTGACTGCAAAAGTGGGTAGAAATCAACTATTTCCTCCTTTTTGGTTCTGGTTGTTGGTGCATATATTTGAATGATAGTAGTGTTCACGAGACTTCCTTCTATATTATCCTGTCATTCACAACACTGTATTTCAAGATGGATCCAGAAATGACTTTTTTAACTATGTAAATAACCCCATTTTTACCCACATTTTCATCTCCAGCACAGATCATGGGATTGCCTGATTCAAAACATTGCATGTCAACCCATCTTGTTTCATCAATTCTGAGTATATCTTACCTTCCTTTAAAATTGAGATACAGATGTGTCAGTGCTTGGGATTTAAATGCTTTAAAATATTTGCTGTTGTTTTGTGTTGTCAAGTCACCTGCAAATCATAGCGATCCACAGCCCTAACCCCTGCTCTATCCTGTGCCAACCTTATTGTCTGACACACCTGCCCCCAATACCCCAGTCACTGAATCCGTCCATCTGATTGAGGGTCTTCCTCTCCTGTGGTGTCCCTCCACCTTCCCAAGCATGTCATCCCTCTCCAAGGATTGGTCCCTCCTTGCAACATGTCTAAAATATGTCGGATGAAGCTTCAGAATCCTTGCCTCCAAGGAGCAGCCTGGTTTCACCCTCTCCAGGATGAACTTGTTTGTTCTCCTAGCAGTCCTTGATATATTCAATCTCTTCTCCAGCCCCACAGCTCAAAGCCATCAGTTCTCCTTCTATCATCCTTAGTCTTTGTCCAGCTTTCCGAAACCTTTAGTAGGGTTTTTTTTTCCCTCTAGCTGGGCTTCAATCTTAATCCTTCATGCATTTCTAGATGGAGGTCTGCTCTGGGCTGTGTATCCCATCACTTATTACAGCAGTCATTGGTAGTGTCAGTAGTTCACCTCTCATCCTCAGTGTCTCTGTTCAGCTGGAACTCAAGGAGGAAGCTGGTGTTTTGGTTCATTTTTTCCTCAATACTCAGTGCATAATTCTGTTTGCTCAACTCCTTGAATGTGTAGTAGTTTGTACACATCTTGGGAACCTTGTTATACTTCATTTTCTAGTAGGGTCTTACTTATATGCAGAAATGGAGTACTTAAAAGTTTATTGCTGGTACTAGACCACTAAAGTTTTCATGAACCTAAAGATAAAATACTTTGTTAAACAGTAAAATCTATAGGCATTGAGCCCTTTGATCTAAAAAGTTTACCTCACAAGCTTTGGTAGCTCAAAATTGGTTATTTACTTTAAAAACCTGTCACATCTCTTAAAAAGCACTAAGGCCTCATTCTTGGTGGCCGAACAGTTTTCTTCACGACTGCCTCTTTTGATTTCATGGCAACATTATTTCAGTGTGGAATTAATCTGGACTCCATAAACACCATCTGAACTTGTAAGAACAGCTTCACAAGGCACTTCTGCTTCCGAAGCAGACACCAAAATCCCCTGCTGTGGAGTAGACTCCTTCTTAAGAAGACCCTCCCTCCAGTGGGTTCAGAGGCTGTGCATTTGTATAAGAAAACACTGCCCACTTTTCCCCATAGTGCATTTGGTGGATTTAAACCAGTGACCTTCCAGGTAGCAGCCGTACATCGTTAGGTGACCTGGTGTTAAGAAGCTGCGCTGCAATCCCAAAGGCATGTGATTTGAATCTACTAGGTGCTCTAAGGGAAAAGGAGGGGCAGTCTCCTCTCATGTGATTACCTGCCTCTGAAAACCTACTGGAGGATCAACGATGGTTCAGCTCCGACTCGATGGCACACAACAGTAAGCACCAATAGAGCTCCTTCTGCTTCCAGGAGAGTACATATCTCACTCAGCACAAAGCTGTGAAGTGCCTTCAGGCTGGCATGTAGCTACCCTGTGAACAGCAGAACCCAAGCCTGCCCAACCCTGTGCTGTCCTCACAATCTCTGCTATGCTAGAGCCCATGGCTGAGTCTCTGTGTCACTCCATGTGAGGATCTTCTCTTTTCTCTGACCCTCTGCCTTTCCAAGCATTATGTCCTTCTCCAGAGACTGGCCTCTCCCGATAAGGTGCCCAAAGTAGGTGAGACCAACTCTGACCATCTTTGCTTTTAAGCATCACTCTTCCCAAGACAGGCTGGCTTGCTCTTTTGGCAGTTCCTGGTATATTCAGTCTTCTTCACTGACTTCACAATGCAAAGCCGTCAACTCTTTGTCAGCCTTCTTTACTCACTGTCCAGTATTCACATGCATGTGAAGAAAATGAAAATGCCATGGCTCGAGGCAGGTACACCTTAGTCTTTAAACACACATCTGTGCTCTTTAGTATTTTCATGAGGCCCTTGGATGTAGATTTGCTGCTTCTTGTTGTTAATGTGCCGTTGAGTTGCTTGTGACTTAGTGACCGTATGTACAACAGCCCTGAACTCTGCTCTATCCTGAACCGTATTGTCTCTGACACACCTACCCCATTACCCCAGTCACTGAGTCACTCCATCTCATCTAGGGTCTTCCTCTCCTGTGCTGTCCCTCCACCCTCCCAAGCATGATGTCCCTCTCCAAGGACCATTGTCCAGCTTTCTGACGCATAGCAAGCAAGTGGGAAGACTATGGCCTGGATCAGGTGGATAGTGGTGTCTTTTCTGATATCGTTGTTTGGTAGTTGGAAAAGATGGCCTTGGAGATAGAAATGGGTCAGATCATAGCATGTTTCCTTTACTGCACAAAAGCCAGTCCACCTCCAGAGGCACTGCCGAGGTGGATGAAAACCCAGACAAGTAGAGTAGGACACTTGGATAATGTAACTTGGCCAGGGAAGAGGATGTCATGTGAGTGTTGCGAGGGTATTCTGGTAACCCACTGACATTCTTACAGAGGACATGAAAACACAGTATGGAAAGAGTCTGAGTGTGGGGGGAAAGGACTCAAGAGTATTGTATAAGCACCCTCTAAGGAAGCAGTCTTTTATTTCCTTTTAGAAGAGTGAACACATGTAAGACATTATGACAATGTTCAGTCCTTAACAAACAGCCTGGGGAGAAAGGTCAGAGATCCTTCAGGAAGCAGAGCAGTGGAATGCAGAACTAGAAATGCCCTCAGATTTTATCTCCATGAGGGAATCACAGGGCCTGAAAGGCAGTCACACCCCAGAGGAGCCTTCATCCCAAGCCAAATTAAAAACAACAACAAAAAACCCTCCCAGCTGCATGTTTAAAGGAAGGATGATGCTGCCCATGAAAGGTAGGAACTATGGTCAGATGATGACAGAAAAAAGGCAAATTATAACATGGAATTAAAAAGGACAGGTCTTTGTGGCTAGAAACATTTTACTGGTAACACTGACAGATGTAAATTGGAACAATAGTTTACGTTTCTCTGCCCTAGCCCCAAAGCAGTGTGACAAGTAGGTTGACAGAAAAAGGTGGTGGTGACCACGTGACTTCAGTGCAGCCTGTGGGGGTGGATACAGGAGCAGAGCGAGGGGCAGCACCCCACAGGGTTTTCTGGTCGCTGTGTAGTGGTTATTTACACAAGGGTTAGACAAAATAGTTAACTACTAAAGGTATCCCAAAAAGGCCTGAGAAAATCTGGTTAAAATATATAACCTTGTATTGCTACTGGTGGGAAGGAGTCCTTTTTATCTCTTCTAAAAAATAATAAAAAGATTCTGTTAAAAAATAGATTTATCCAGAAAGATGTGGATTTTTAACTGTAAAAAGCAATGTGGGATCATCGTTTTTCCCTTTGAATGGCTTCAGTTGCAAAGCTCCCTTTCAAATTTCAAGTCTGTCCCTCTCTCCCCCCAAGGGAAACCAGGAATATTCTGGTTCTTTTCAGACTTCTGTGTGGAATATCCCTTCCCAGAAAAGGCCCGGGAAGCTCGCTTGTTTGACTCTATGCTGCTCCAATACGTCTGGTTAGCTTTTCCACTCCAAGAACAGCTTCCAGTTCTCCTTGCTGCTTCTTCCAGGAAAGGATTAGCTGCCTTTGATGTAGCACAGAGCGGGCCCGCTCTTAAGGAATCTAAATCAGATCCCTCAGTAAGCAGGGTGAGATTGCTTTTAAAAAGATTAATAGTTTTTAAGGCTAAGGCAACAAACATCCACAGTCATTTGTGTATCCTAATTTGGTGCAAACAACTAAAGGTAATCTAAAACAGACCCTATAACTTGAGATAAGGGAAGGAGAAATGTTGACTGGGGACGGGGCACAAGGAACAGGACAAAGATCAGCACAAATGATCCATTTCTTTGGTGAAGAAAAGAAGTGTCTCATAAACCACCTTCTACAAGAGGCTGCCCTCCTTTCACATAGAAAAGCACCTTGACTTTTGTTATCACTCTTTGATAAAAATGCTATCTACAAACCTGGGAGGATCTGAGTTGGGTTTGTTGTTTGTCTAAAGCTGGTAGTAAAAATGTGACCGGATAGTTAATGGAAGGAAATGATAGTGCTTTCGTCCACTCAGCCTGGGGAGGGAGCCCTGCTGGTCCCCAGCCCCTTCTCTCAGGGGAGTATCACACATGGGTCTGCAGGCCCTGGCCTTATGCCTCTGCTCCATGAGGGCACTGGCCATGTCGCAGTTGGGAGTTGCTGCTGGTGCAGCCTGGGGGGAGGAAGGTCTATTTATCAGTGAGTGACAGCTGTAAGACTTGCTGTAGTTCCGCTTCCTCCTCCTGGAGCCTGAGTTCACGCTCCTCCAGCTCTTTGGCAGACAGCTCCATGGCCAGCTGCAGGTCGCTATCAAAACGACTGGTCTCGCTTGGGGCACCAGGGCACAGGCCTTCTGAGCTGGACAGGAGGCTCTCTTGGATGGCCCTGGAAGGGAAAACAGGGAAGGTGCATTTATCACTGTCAACACAGTAGCTACACTGCCTAACAGCTTACCAAGGACTATGGAGAAAATGCCATTTAGGGTTTTGGTGCAGCTTCATCTCCCATACTGTGAGCAAGTTGCTAAGAGGGGCTATTCCTAAGAAAGGAACATCATGCTTGGAAAGGTGAGGGTCAGCAAAAGAGGAGGAAGACCCTCAAACAGATGGATTGACACAGTGACTGCAACAATGGACTCAAGTGTGTCACAGATGATGAGGATGGTACAGAGCTCAGATCTGTTGTTCAGAAGGTCACTCTGGGACATACTCAACAGGACCCTTAACAATAACAACAACTCTGGAGTTGTGGGGCAGGGTCTCTGAGCTGAGTACAGTTGGCTCAGAGAAGTGACGACATCTTCCCTCAAGGTAACCCTGCTACTAAGAAATGAGGCTGGGAAATGAATATGGAGCTATTTTACATACCTAAAGTAAGCTTTGTAAAATGACATTTTCTAGTCTGTCCCCCTCAAACAATGACACTCTGTGTTCCCCTGAGCCTCCTCGCTAAAGTATCAACATCCTTAAAATTGGACCAGCTTCCCACTGAGGGCCCCCCAGAACCTTTGTGATTTCATATTCTTTGTAAAAGACCAATCCAATCTGAAAAATGTCCCTGGTGCCTCCTAGCAGTGACACTGACAGAGGAGTGAAAACACAATGGATGTCGGCAGGTCATGGTGACCCTATGTCAGTGAGTGACTGTGCCCCACAGTGTCCAGTGGCTGATTCTTCCCAATCGATTACCAGGACTTTCTTCTGAGGCACCTCTGGGTAGATTCACACTACACACCTTTCCATTTAGCAGCCAAGTAAACTGATAGGGACTCCCTGGCACGGAATTTGGTCATTCTTGGAGACTCCATGATCAAGCACTTACTAATGTTGATGTTACATGCTGTCAAATCACAAGTGACTCCTAGAAAGACCCTCCTGCATATAAGGAAACCACCCATCTTTTTCCTAGGAAGCAGCTGGTGGATTTGGGCCACATATCTGTAGGTTGGTAGCACAGTTGCGTTACCACCAAGTGCTATCTTAATGCCCTCAAGAGGCAGCAAAAGGCTAACCCATCATGGGGTGTCTCCTCCCAGGCCCTGTCAGTGCAGTAAGTAAGGGGGAATTAACGTCTGCTTAACTTCAGCTTAGTCATCAGGAATCACATCGCTCACCTCTCGTACTGGGCATCATAGGCATGTGTCTGGCTTATCCCACCATTTGAAGCTGGTCCTGAGATTTCCTGGGAAAAGCAAAAGTGATGGCCATGAACACCTTGCCAGCAGGAGCTGTCATCATAACTGGTAAAGAAATGAAAGCAGGCACAGTATTTACCATATTTACACGTGTATCAATGAGAGTGCGTGTGAGGCTGAGGGGGACGGGGGCTCTCGGTTACCTCCAACCAAACAGAACAGTGGTAATTTCCTTGCTGTGGGTAATTTCAACATTTCATTGGAACAGAAGTTGTAACTAAATAAAATTGTAAATATATACAATTATAGAATCTCGTTTAAAAAAATCAAAACAACGGTTGTCATCTAATGAGTTCCAACCCATGATAACCCCATGTGTATCAGAACTGTGCTGCATAGGCATTTCATTCTGGTTTTTTATTAATTTATAAAAAGAAAGTAAAATTTTAAATATGCCTATTATTTATTTCTAAATGTCAAAGCTCTCTCAATCAGACTTGCAAACACTTTTAAACAAGTGCTTAGCAACTTCCAAGTTAATCTTGGACCTGGACTGATCATGGTGGCCACAGTCTTGCAACCAGAGGGTTTGGAAAAAGACTCTTCTTTCTTTATCAAGATTTCAAAGGCTAATTTTGACAAATAGATTGCCAGGTCTTTCCTTTGAGGCACTTCAGGGTAGATTCAAACCTGCAGCATTGAGATTAGTGACTGAGCTCTTAACCTTTTAAATCATCTAGGCCCCCTGACATCTCTCAAACTAAAACTCACTCCTAATGAGTGAAAACAGAAGAGAAGGAGCTGATGCTAGGAGAGGAATTCCGCGCCTGAACTGTTACCAGGCAGGTGAGGTCTGGAGAAAGAATGACCTAAACTGCAAAGGGCAACTGTTCTCACACCACTCTGGCCTTTCCTGAGCTCTACTTTTAACTGGAGGCTCTAAGTTTAAGAGGCAGCTCTTACAAGAATATTCTGTGGTAGTCCCTTACCACTGAATTGAAACATTAATAACCCTTTTCATTGCATATTTACAGAGTAACCAGTGGGAGGTGGGATTAAAAATCCACATTGTAACCTTCACTTATGACAGCAGACCTGTGCTATTGCCAAGAAAAATAATAGGGGGGAAATGGTGATGTAAACTAACTGGAACTTAATTAACAGTTTCAGTGCCAGAAAACCATGAAGCATGTTCATTAGCTACACAGATGGATGTAAGAAGTCTGTGAGGAGACAACCGCAACATGATGCTGAAGCGAAGGATGAGAAATAGATATTCTGTAAAAGAGCAAGTGTATAAAATAAAAAATAATCCATGAAAGACTGAACATTTATATGACTGTATATGAAGTCATAGTTATCGAACTAGTATGTTAAAGAGGTTCTTCCCAGAGAGGGTGAAACCAGGCTGCTCCTTGGAGGTAAGGATTCTGAAGCTTTGTCTGGCATACTTTGCACATGTTGCCAGGAGGACCAGTCCTTGGAGAGGACATCATGCTTGGAAGGGTGGAGGGACAGCGCAGAAGAGGAAGACCATCGATGAGAGGGACTGACTGGGGCAAAGGGGGGGTGAGTGTGTCAGAGACAATAAAGGTTGACTCAGGATAGAGAAAGGTTCAGAGCTGTTGTACATAGGCTCGCCGAGTTGCAAGCAATTCAATAGCACATAACAACAGACAACATATTGTAGAGAACTCTAGTGGCCAAGTGGGTAAGGAATTGTGCTGCCAACTCAAAGGCAGACAGTTCAAGTCCACCATCTGTAACGCCTGTTCCGTTTACAGCCTCTGGAAACCCTCTGGATGATCAGCTATGAGTCAATTCCAACACGACAGCAATGAGTTGAGTATGCTGTTGTTCTTGAGTCAAGTCAGTTCTGACTTAGGTACAACAGAGGGCATTCTGGTGGCTTAGTGGTAAGAAGTTGCACTACCAAGCCAAAGACACAAGGTTCAAATCCACCAGCTTATTGAGAGTGCTGTGTGAAAGGCTGGGCAATCTCCTCCCATGCAATTGACTGTCTCCAGAAAACCCCTGGAGGATCAAATTAGCTGAGTCCTGACTCCATGGTACCTAACAACAATAATGTACAACAGAGTGAGCTCTGGCGTCCTGGTCCATAGGGAGGTGCATGGCTGACCTAAGGGTTGTGCCTCTGATGGCCTGAATCCAGAAAAAGATGTGCAGTTTCCTCCCACACAATTTACAGACTCCGAAACCCCACTCGAGGGTCAGCGCTCAGTCTGTCCCAACTTGACAGCAATGAGTTTGAGTCTGAGCTTATACGAGCTACTCAAGCTCATTATTAACATGAAATCACTCAATCTTTGGACTAAAATCTGAGTGAAGACTTCTAACCTGGCTCCTGCTGGACTCAAGCAAGCTCTGCTGGATAGCGAACTGCATTATCTCATAGTCTTCATCTTGCAAATGCATGTTCCTGCCATTGTCTTGAATGTGATACGATTCCGGTATTTCAAATACAGACTGATCCACCTCAAAGCTGGTGACGTGGGAAGCTGAAATACAAGAGTTAACTGCATCAATTTTCCACTCTAATATTTTATTAAAAAGTTGAAAAACACAGAATCGAAACTATGATCAAAGCTTTTGCTCTTACCTGAGAGATTTCAAAGGAGAATCATCGTCACAAAGAAACGACACCAGAATATCACTTAGGTCTTTTTGCCTTGATTCTTTTTCTAATGATGCAATTAATGCATATTCACTGATAAAATACTACACGTAACCATGAAATGAAAGCTCCCCTCCCACTTCATATCAACAAACTCCAGCGATATTCCAGGAATGGGAGTGTCTGTGTGAATGAGTGTGTATATGTGTTTATAAACATGCTGTGATGCCAAAAGAAAGACTCAAACTCACTGCCATTGAGTCAGAACCAACCAACAACTGACCCTCCAGGTTTTCCAGGGCTGTGAATCGCACAGGAGGAGACTGCTGCTCATCTTTCTCTCCCAGAGCTAGTGGATTCAAACCACCACTGAACTAGTGGCTTAAGAAGCTACACTTGCAGGGGAGCTCTGGTGGCCAAGTGGCAAGAAGCTACACTGCAATCCTGAAGGCACACAGTTTGAATCCACCAGATGTTCTGCTGGAGAAGGAAGGGCAATCTCCTCCTGTGCCAGTTGGATCCCGACTGGATGGTACACAAGTTAAAAAAAAAAAG